TCACAGACACCTAGAACCAAGAACGAAGGCATTTAGCCTATTGAATGTCATTTAAGGTCTCGAGCTACCGAAGCGATGAGTCATGAGAGCCCCAGCCAAGGAAACAAATCCGACCTGCAGTTACTTTATTCCAGTATATCAGGTCACTGTCAGTACACCTCACAACTAACGTCATTCGGTCAGGGTACCACCCCATGTGGTCGAAAGGATCTTTGTCCAGCGAATGTAAAACAAAGCAACAACGCATCATTTGAAGCAAAATAAGTGCTCAAATAGGAACGACAGTCTTGAACAGTTAGGCAATCTATAACTAACAAATGAGACCACGTCTGATTCAGACAAAGGAAGGCTCCAAATATAACAATGACGTGCACGATGTCTAAAATTAATGATGACTGAAAACAGATTGTGCTTGGCGCACAGTTACAACAGCCGTCGCCACCACCGTCTGAACGGTGTACGCTAACACCTGTCACCTAAACGAGATACAAGCTCACCAAGACGGCCGATCTGAGTGTATCTTCGGTCAGAATAACGATATCAGATCCGCGCATTGACCGAAGATGAACGGCCAGAATCGAATAAAAGGTGTTTTTGACACCGGCGTCACTAAAGTCAGCTGGATCATAAATAGACACAATGAAAAGATTTCTGAAGATACTGCGCCTGAAGCTACTCTTGACAGAACCTGCCAAGCAGACGACACAGTCTACTGTTAATAGGAATCCAATCTACTAATGCGGCTGTGGTCGTCATGCTGACGACCATACTTACTCCAGCCTGAACGGTAGCAGCGGCCGTTGAGTCATCCGAAATGTAGAATCGGTATCGAGTAGAGTGTGAATGCTGTAAGTTCCATTAGCTGATTAGTGTCCTAGATTCTAGTCTCTGAAATGCAGCATACATCAACGTTCAATGAGTCTGGCATTCATGTATAAGTGACCTGTTGACCTATCTGTTTTATAGTGCAAACGCTGAAAACGCCTTTATTAATTCGCATTCTAGGTCTAACCAACCGACGAGGGGACTGGAGACTGGGTGGTGTGAGACGGAACTTGCTAGTTTGTAGGTCGTGAGAACCCCGAAGTAGAAGGGTATTTTAATTCCTTCTAACTCTCATCACAAGTGTATGCTGATTGAACGCCTCCATTAACCACTGATCTTAGCAGTAGATGATAATAATATTTATTTTTCTCAACCGTTGCGCCTCCTTTTCTGACTTTCGTTCTGTAGGCATACGGAGCGGGTTATGACATTTCCCGCTCCAACGAGGTGAACTCTAGTTAAGTGCGCTAGAGAATTAACTTTTTAACGTTAACACCGCGAAACACGTTGGCCTGTAGCTAACGAGCTGTCCGAACCTTGGTAATATTTACTAGGATAATCGGATGGGTTATGGTTCGATACTACATAAAAATCCATGTCACTCCCAGGTTACTAAGTCATCTACCACAGGTTCAGTGGGCACGCCGAGTTGATTTTAATTATCAAACAATGGGACATACAACCGGGGTTTTTTCAGTTTATCAAGCTTTTTCATTTGGACTGCATGTGACAGTAACTTTTCAACCGCCTGAAACATTCTCAACTGTTATGTCACTCACAGTCTAGTTAGAGTAAGTATGTGTCATGGCTGGCTCAAAAAAATCATCACCGTCATCATCAAAGACAACAACATGGCAGTGATTCACGTTGATGCACAACCGCCATACAATCATAGAGGAAGGCAAATCCTTACCAACAAAAAGGAAGAGGGCATCCAACTACTAAAAACGACCATATCTACACTCAAAGTAAAAAAAATCAGAAAAGCAAAAAGAGCACGTGGTTACGGCAACAGTACACATACAGCATATGTAATGTATATACCTACACACATATATCCAACTATACACATCTGAAATCAGATTGAGTGTCAAATCAAGACACGTAGTGACTGCCGAGCAGTCTCGGTGGCTGTCTTGATTAGCAAAGCGTTTGGCAACTCCAGGTAGGATCAACTAGTCTGCTTGGTTTTAATGTGTCGGTTACGATCGTGAACATGCAAATTCCCTCAGCGCCTCCGCGCCAGCAACCGTCAGTTTATGTGAACGGGACACTTCTGTACAGAAAGTGATCAGAGGTGTAAATCTAACGTTGGTTTGTCGGTGTGCAGTTGATGCAAGGATGAAGCAATAGGTGAAGGTGCTCAGCCCCGTACAATTTTTGACTGCGCCGACTGTGAACGCAACTTTCTGACTAAGATTGGTCCCAACCAATACAAAAAGCATGCACATCCCATCAACCACAACTGGGAGCAATTCAGATGCATGAAGACCGCTGAGTCTAACTGGTCATAGCAGAAGTCAGCTTCTCTCTTTAGACTTGCCGACAAATCGACTGCGTCGTGCCCCACTCGACCTGAACTCCATCACTGGATTCTGCCGCATTTCTCAAGTCGTTCCCTCGAGAACGTCTGGATGCGTTTATATGCATTGAACTGGCGGAAAAGCTCTGTTCCCACTGCTAACGCAACCACCGTTTCACAGTCAAAGGTAATGTTAAATATCGAGCGTCACGCAGCAGAACATTATGAGTGGCTTGCCCGTTTGGTACAAACTGAGGAAACCCAATTCGAGTCAAACAGCGACGTCTTCATGCGCAGCGACGAACTGCGAGGAACCGCCTGTGGTCTCTATGCAGGCATTTTCATCATAGTACAAGCAAAGTCACTAACGAACATGCACGCTTCTCAAGCTTACCTGTATACCTGGTGAGTAGTAACTCGGCCACGTGTTCGTGTTGTTGCGAAGATCTATACTACCAGGAAACAGACACGGAAAGTTAATTGTGCAACGATTCAAACCCTGTATCACCAACGAAAGAAGGATGTTGTTTTCGCAGTCTTTTCTGGAAACTGGAGAATTACCTACAAGAAGAACCGCGGCCTCCCAGAGAATTTATAACGAGTACTCGTCCGAGGTACTGTCGGCTCATCCGCACACTGATGAGCGACCCTCACGTACGATTTTGCTTCCTGATTGGTGCTTGATCCAGCTGATCACTGGAGAAGTATCCTGCGCTTTAGAGAGTACGTAAAATATCATCTGAGGTATTGACAAACTGTTGCTCAAACATTTGAAGCGCATGAAGGCTGTGGGATATTTTAACCTCCTCCTGCCAAATGAAGGTTGTCCAGTCTTTCAGTGGTCCTCCAGCTCTAACGCACTGCCTTGCTGACTTATTGAAATGTGTCGGTCAGGCTCAAAGGCCCTATCCCCCGATACCAGTGCGGTGTTCGCCAGAATGACCCATTATCACTCCTTTTGTTCATCACGGCAATGGAAGAGGTGCTATACTTATTGCAACCAGAGCTTTGCTACTAGTTGCACGACACGGCGTTCAGCAGTTTCGCTTATACTGATGAACTGATCCTGCCGGCAGAGAATTTGACGTGTCTTTCGAGAAAGCTGGCAGTCGTAGCCAGTGCTGTGGAGCTAGCCGGACTGCAGATCGACACTTAAAAGACGATATTCATGGTCATTGGTGTTTACCATAAGTACATCGTGACCTATTGCTGAGAAATCTATTCCACTCGGCCTGGTCAATATCCACCCACTGAGTGTCTCTAACATGGTAGCCAATCTAGGCATCCGGTTCACTTAGATAGATAAAGCTTTTGCTAACCACCGGCCGCAACTTCCTACGATATTCGATGAAGCTACTAAAGCACATCTGAAGCCACATCAGCCCCTCTGTCTTTCGAGGCAGTATTTGATCCTCTGTATGAGTCACTCGTTAGTTCTGGGTCGAGTCCATCGCAATACACTCAAAACCATGCGCTGTACCACCCGTCAGTTTATGCGACAGTGGCTCCGCCTTCCAAAAAGCACGCCAAACAGTTACATCTACAACCCAATTCGTCTGGATCATCCGAACATTTTGGGTTTACCTAACACAATTCCCATTACGCGCAAACCACGAGCGAAAAGACTGCTCTCTAGTCAATGTCCAATCATGAAGAACGTGATCAAAAATGATACGTCTGGCCCAGCATGAAGGACATTAACGTTAGAATGCGTGTTCAGGGTGTGGTGGTGACGAACAGGGAAGAAGTTAATCCGGCATGGATGGACAAGCTCTATCATAGGCCTGACGACCGTGGTCCCCAAGACAATTCCTGCTATCCAACCTTCAACCGTTGGTTGTGTTATTCAGATCACACTTTTACCAGGATCCTCATTCATGCAACCAAGCTCCGATGTGGTCTTCTTTGGACTAAGATCCGGAATTCTCGAGGTTGCCGAAGTGACCACTCATCATCATGCTGTTGCGATTGCGATCAACAAGAAAGCTTTGCTCGCATTCCTCAATGTTGTCAAATCAAACGCGATGTGCGTTTTACTTGACACAATCGCGTGACCTGACGAAAAGACTACGCAATCTCGGCTACACAGTTTTCGAGCGGCTACGAGTACCAACGGCAACTTGGTTCATCAAGTTCGACTTGATCGCGGTTCGCGACGAACAAGCTGTGATATTGGACAACAGCATTGTAGATAATTGCCGAAGCGAAGAGGCCTGGATCGACGAGACTGAAAAGTACTGGACCGACTCCCATAATACTGTCATTCACGTGGTCCTCCATACCATGAATTGTCGTGTGAACCCAATCCCCCACACACTTGTGATCGCCAAATTTAGTGAAATCACTTATTTTTTCCCCATGCAATTGCTTATTTGCGCAGTCACTGACTTTTGCCCTATGACCATCCTGAGTTCCCTTAAAATCTACGACGCATTCATGCGGGGGACTTGACGCTTACTGTTGTCACTTTTCTGGTAGCTGTCTCATTATGAAAGGACACTTTTTCGTCCTAATGCGTCAGCTTTGATTCTGGAGAGTATTTGATTTTGAGAGAACAAATTCCTTTCTATTCCTAACTTACTATACGGAACACTTTCATTTGGTGACTATAGAGTTAACTACATTTTTGATGAGACCCAATTGCGAAACGTCAAGGTTTTGGCTGGATTCGAATCAGCGATAGATACATTATACCCAAATGCGGCGACCGCTCTACCAGCTGAGCTACAAAGCCATGCCAGGCGTTCGAGTGTTTGGTTATCTTATGGATGGACTTGTTAATCGTTCGGTGTTGTTAGTTATGTAGCATTCCAGACTTGATAACCAGCTGGCATGGAATTTCCATTTTTGCATTTCTGTTGCTAACTTTGGTGCGACAGCTTGTTCGTTTTCTCGAATGAAGTTGTGCAAACTGCTCTTCAAAACAAACGGTAAATAGTATATATACACAAGCACACAATATATAAATACACAAGTGTGGAGTCAGACTGTGTCAAGTTAAGGCAACGAGGCAAAAACAGTTAATAAAGAGTGAATGGAGGACAGGCGACAAATCGTGGAATAAAGTGTGCAAAAAGCCTTCCAACAGTTTTAAATTTAGGTGATCTGGAAAGTGTATTGTTTTACGAAAGTTTTTTGCTTTTTCACTTAAAGGGAAATGTAGAAAACGACAGCTCAAGATAGTCATTAGCGCAAGCAGAGCAATGATGTTACCATCAACAGCCCCCGACATGGCTTCGTAGCTCAGCTGATAGAGCGCTTGTCACTGGTTCGAATCCAGCCGAAGACCTGACTTTTCACAATTCGGTGTTATCGAAATCATTCAATCTGCCGAACTATCCATCAGTAACGCTGTTAGCACTGATTACAGTCAGCGATCATACTCTTCGGTATCTCTAGCCAACAATATCAATTAACCTTTGAACCTAAACAAGAAAGTTGGATAAAACCAAGAGATGTCAAATTTGACGTTAAATTCATCATTCTCCTGGGTCAAGTCTTGGGCCGCCCAACGGGTTGAGTTACTTGTCTCACCAACAGGATGAAAAATAAAGTGTGACATGGCACGACGCGCTGGAATGACATGCGTCACTTGAATCGATAAAATTAAGTTAGTTCACATTGTAGACTCAACACGGTAACACATGAATCGGGTTCTACTTTACTGTGAAGCTTTCAACAGTAGACTGAGAAGTATATGTGCATGTGTATAACAAAATACATACACAAATCGTCATGAAAGACGAACTGTTATAACGGTTGGATTCGACAGTCAACGCAACAGTTACGAGGAGTTTGACAGCTGTGAACAGTGGTGGTGTTGCTCGTAGTTCGGGTTGATGGTTTTCGTATTGGTATGCTTGCCGAGCTTGGCATTCAGGTTGCAAACGTTTCGCCACCAAGCGAGGTGACATCATCAGTGCGTGAGTGTTTCAGCGTATACTTTTTAAGCGAAACACTTTTGAGCTTAAACATCTACGTATTGATGATGTCATCTCGCTTGACGATGAAACGTTTGCAACCTAAATGCCAAGCTCGGCAAACATATCAATATCAAAATTTACGAGGAGTGTGCCAAGAGAAAATGGTATCACAAGGAACTGATACAATAAAACACTAGCAAAATAACTAACTGAGCGAGTATAGGCAAGTTATTGACTGCGACATGTTGCTACTCGTCGGACAGCGCCCCGGTCAGTGACTTGAATGATCGCGAAGCCGATAAGACAGCTGAGGAAGATTACTGACGCTTTTGCTGATGAGCAATCAAGAATCGAACATCGCCAGCATATGACAGCAGCCTTCACACTCAGATAGATTTTCCAGCTAGCATCTTCCGAAAAATGCAATATATCCGAGTTTCGCCTTTGTTAGGGCTCATCAGTAGAGCACCTCCTTGTCAGGGCTGGCAATGTTTTCGCTGGGCAGTCGTGTTGACTACTGTGCCGTCGGCCTCATATTACTAAACACGACTGAATCATATTATTTGAACGACCAAACACCATCATTTGTGATCAGCTTGCCCGATCATCTCGATAAGAGATATAATTACCACCTGCTAACTCCAGTAAATAAGCTGGCGATCAGAATCCCTGAGTCTGATAGAAATTCCCGATTTTAATAAAAATGTTATCTTCTAGAATACTGGTGAGTAATCAGCAGTTTGGATTTAAGTTGAACATTATCCACATGATCGCAATTTCCGCATTCAAATCGACTTTCCTGGCGACCTCTTTCAATAAGAAGCAGTACACTCGAGTATCGTGCCTGCTAAAGTTCATTAGTACTATTGAATTCGTTGGGTAGGTATCTCAAATATAAATCGCACCTACGTCAATGCATCGGTGTGAACGAGCGATATTGAATCGATGACTGTCCCAATGATTCAGGTGTGACGAACACGGGGAAAGTTGTTGACAAAAGCTGTCGTTTTTCATACATTCGCTTTATTTGTCGAAAAAACTGGATTTTTCACCTTTGGTGATTTGAATGTCCGTCATTTTGAACGATATTCAAACACAATGCTTACGCCTGGTTGATCCGTTAGATGATCCAACCCGAAGTTTATTAAAACCTGTAAAACAGTACAACAGTTTCGCTCTCTGACAGAGCAGTAAGTGAGGCTCGCTTGGATGCCGTCTTCTTTCTTATCTACTGGGGAGTATTACGTTGCGTCAGTTGTGTTACGTTAATTGTGATATTGGTTCCGCGGTATACTGTGATGTTATACGTTCCTTCCGTGATTGTGATACAATTCGTGGTCTTCTGTGTTTATTTCTGCATTATTCTTTCAAGGGAACGTAACAGTGATGTCAGATTTCTAGATTACAGATTTTGAGTGGGTTTTCCTAAGTCATTCTTTCGCGATATAAGGAACCAGAAAGCATCCGGATTTGTCCGTTCTCCCACAGAACAGGTTTTCGTTCTCTTCCCCCGCTTCTAACCTTCACTTCTTCAAAGCCGAGATAACTGGTGAACACTGATGCTTTCAACCTTCACGTTGATTTAGCGAGCACTCGCTACAGTCTGGAACTCATTGTGATGTGCTACCGAAATGTGCCCTTACGATCCCAGTGCTGTCGTCTATTTGAATTCGCCCTTAGATGGTGTTGCGGATAAGCGATTCTTTCTCAGTTTCCAATGATGACGAAATCAAACCTGATGATCAAGCCGATGTGGGGACTGCTCTGAGCCCTAAGACACAGCATAACTTGTTCGATTGGATCTCAGTGAATAGTCGTGTGTGAGATGGTATACTTAGCACTTCGTTCAAATTCGGTCGGTATAGACCGGAAGGACGTTGTTTATTTGGCATATCTTTGTATTCTCTAGTAGGCAATGGTTCAGGTGCTGTCTGTGGTGCGCACTTTGATTTTCTGTGACAGACTTAACACTCGGACACTACTGTGCCCACTGATATATGGATACATAACTACTGAAAAATAGAGGCCAAGTGGCGTGTTCGGTGCTCGGTTGCGATGCAGCGCCAATGAGGACCGATCGTTGCAAATGTAAGCAATTCACGGACTACATTTATCGAACTGCGCATTCCAGCACACAAGATGAAAATGTGCAATGTGGATACTGTCCTGTGTAACTCAACTATGGACACAAGTTGACCATCTCACTGTCAGCCAACGATAGCGCCATTTCAGTAAGAATTGTCGTTTGTTTTGAAATAACCACCTTGACTCAAATCATGCCGCTGTTCGTGCCCGCTTGTTTCATCCCTTCCTCAGGGTACTTCCGCTCATAAACATAAGGCATTCAACTGGAAATTGAACGAGCAAGGTATATTGAACACCCTTCAGATAGCAGTGATAATTAAGCTGCCAAGGTCTTAACAGCGAAGCAATAGGTAGACATCTCAACAGCTATACAAACATTTTATGAGGAGGGCTATTCAAAAGAAGCACTGTAGACGCGACATAAGTGGATGTCCGCCGATTAAGCAGAACCTATGTATAAACGTCAAATGATCTTCCTGTTTCCGAATGTGTGAAATACGGCCGCGAAATCAAACCTGAGAAGAGTCTGCCTGCAAAGACCGTAAAGTCAAGCTAGGGAGATAGAAAAGGCATTCTCATTACGGAATAACCGGATGTGACTTTCTTGGAATCGTGTTTGCACTGGCGATCAATAGGATGCAAATGAAAACATGGTTCACAGATTCACCACTTGTTGCAGCGATTTGATGGATGGGTTGATTACGTTGGAGAACGCATTTAATTTGACTGAATCGACGATATTATCTAAGAATGAACAAGATATTGTGTTCAGTTATAACATTCCCGACCATCCTCAGTCAAAAATCGAGAAGCAAATTATTGAAAATTAATATAGTTCCAGGTCCAGACCTTCTTTCTCCATTTTAAAAGATGGCTGTGAGGGATTACTGTTCGAACAGCGTACATTCTAAAATTCTAAATGGGAGGTGGTGCCTGTCAACAGTCAGTCCGATCTTAGAAGGTAGTATCAGAATATCATGCGACAGCAACAGCGATTACTAAAACAAAGAAATATGCGAAGAACACGAACGTTTTTGAGCGGGGGATACCGATCCTATCTCCACCTTTCGACGGACACTGGAGCATCAGCACACCGTGCATCGGTCAACGGTCGTAATGTTTTGGGGCCTGAAAACTCCCTTTGATTCGGTGGTGCAACATCAATTCCGGGGCTGTTTTCATTGCAGATAAATCTCAGTAATTTGTTGAAATCTCCGTATACCAGCCCTGAAAATAGAGTTCACATTTATGGGCAGAAATTCCGAACGTTCTCTACTTCGAATGGTATTTGTTAGGAATGTCTCAATACTTATCTATGATCTGACAACTTGAGTGACACAATCCGCAAAATGAATTCGGAGGCTCCAAGAATCTCTAAGCGGCGCTTAAGATAGGTGGTAAGCTGGCCGATACTGAATATGCGCATAACATGGAGATAATGTCGAACTGGTTACATGATGTCTGGTCTGTACAGTATCATCCTTGCATCAGCAGGATATAAACTGTTACTAAATCAGGCTGTTTTTGGCATTAGTTTTGCCATTACAAACAGGTCAGTGGATTGCTTTAACTACATGAGTAGCGTCATTTCGGCAGCTTGCATTATCGTTGATGGTGGCAACGAGAGAGCACTTGATAATCTTCATTTATGACGATATAAAGATGGTAAAATGTCGAGTAGAGAGAGTATTTAAAAGGTGTGTGCATGTCTCACGGAGCATAGACC